GTCCCTTGGCTTTTCCAGAGACCATAGTAGTTTGGTTGGCCTATTCACAGAACACTGTCACACTTAGTTTGAGAACAGAGTTGGCGAAGCAGACCCTTACCCCTTACACAGGGGCACCTACAGGGTGGAAAATGAAGTTTGCTTCCTGTTTTCCACCGCCCACTTAACCATAGTGCAATGTTCAGTTCTGAAGAAGAGGGAAATGAGGCATTTGTTTCCCAGCTTCTATTGGAATGTTTTAGCTGTACAAATAGATGTGGAAGTCATAGGTGGAGCCAGTCTTGATAGCACAGTGTCCTTGAGAAGGGCAAACCTGAATTCTAGTCTCTGCACCAAGGGCATATTTAATGTTAAGCAACCACTAGACAAGATGGAGAAGTACTGCATGTCCTAGATTTTGTATTCTGGTGGCCAGGTCCATGAAAAAAAGATGATCCTATGATGCCTTGCCTATGGTAAATCAGGCTTTGTACAAAGAGAACCTGTGATCCCAAAGTTCCCTTTTCTTTATTGTGTTATTTGATTGTGGGTGTCAAAGTAATTGTCTTTCATTCTCCTGTACAGGATTGAAGTAAAAGGCTCTGGAAACTGTGCCTACCTTGAATCCAAAGGAGTCTCAGCCTCTGGATGTTATTTAACCAGGAAGTGGGTCTGTAGCTTGAATATTGGCTTAGTATGATAAAGGTGGATGAAGCCACCACACCTGACAGTTGGTGCTCTGATATGATGTCAACATAGGCTATGTTTATACCCTGGGACCTGGGAACACATCTCTGCTCCTGCCTGGAGGTGAATGACTTTTCTGATAGCCAGAATTCTGCACCCATGGAGGAAGCCTCTGTTGTTTAAACATCCCATTTAAAAGGCTTGCTTCAGCATCTTAATAAGTCATTTCCTTGCCCCGTTTTTCTCACTACCACTCAGCCTGTAGTTGCCTTTTGATGTGTTGCCAATATTTCTTCCATTAACTCTTCTCTTGTAGGATCAGGAGCAACTGCTCTTTTCTTTTTTGGTGTGCGGCTGAAGGTGTTTGTTCTTCTTTTTCCTTGTCCTCTCTATGTGTAGGGATGGGTTGTGAAGCATGGGTCTGCCTGAAAATCTGCCAGTGCCTCTCAGATACAGTGTGATACTTGGGACAGGATCATTGCAGATTTTGTCTCCGTTTGATGAGGTGCATCTTGTGTGACTCTACATTATATTGTGTTTTGTTAATGTTATTTTACATTAATCTTGTTAAATTAGCTTGACAGTATTAACATTGTGGTATTTATGTAGCTGCACTGCACCTGAAGTTCTCCTTCCCACAGCAAAGAAGAAAAGTCAGGATAGATAAGAGTATTTATTTACCTGAGCATCTGCATGGATGGGGCAAGAGTTTGAGTTGAAACAGTAATAGTGAAGCTGCAGGCATTAATGTTATAAAGTTAGATATAGTCCTCGGTGCAAGTAGGCAAAGTCATGAGTAGGGAATAAGAGAATTAACGACAAAGGATTTTTCTCCACGGCTTCCTCGTGTCCTGTGGCTGTCTGAGAATGAGGGTGGACAATCTGTTTGCTGGCAGGACAATCAGTGTTTTCTTCTGTGTGCATATCATTTTCAGCAGCAACATCCAGTGCTGTTGAATTGCTATGAGCCTTAAAGGAATTTGGTCACAGTCCTGCTGAACCCTGTCCACTCATATCTAGCAGGTAACCTGAAGATTTAAAGTGCCCTTTGACCCAGAGGAAGCAAAGCAGATGGTTTTCCTGGAAGGACTATTCCTATCAGGTATCTAGAGAAGGACGAATGGGAAAATCACGTGTATAGCAGGGCAAAATAGCTTCCTTCCTCGGTATAAAATCCGAATAATTGTTTTTCTTGTGATCTGGATGCTATGGAGAGGACTATGGGCTCTGTGGGACTTCTTGAAGGAGCAAGTGAAGCTATTTTTGGAGTAGCCACTAGAGTGCACTGTAGTTTCAGAGAAGGGAAGATAATTGTGTTCTCAAGTTACTAAGAGTGTAAAACTACACCATGTTTGACAGCGTATTTGGTGTGTGTTTTGTTCGCTGGGCTTTTTTGTCCTATTTGTAATTATTTTTGCCTTCACTGTGTTTTTATGCAAGTTTAATTTCTGTCTACTTATGTTCAGCATCTTGTTTATGGCTTCATTATTTTCTGTGGCAATGGGACCTTGCTGTAACAGAACCATGCAGTATGGATATTGTTAACAACAGACTTTTCTATGTTTATTTATATATGAGAACTAATTTTGCTGAACTACCCTTTGTTTAATTGCTTGTATTCTTTATAAGCACAGTAACAGGACTCTATGGTCTGAACAGCCTGATAATCCATGTGTTAATTTATATGTAACTAGTTGGGGAGGTGTTATTCTGCAATCTTTTTAAATTAACTAGCTCTGAAGGATATGGTATGTGCAATAGTCCTGAAAAGGTACTTAATAAATATCTTTACAGAGCCTCTGAATTACAGTGGTTTGTGTCTTAGTATTGTTCCATTAACAGTACTTTTTTAGCTCAGGTACCGTATGGGGGAAAACAAAATCACCAGACTAAAGCAAAAATGTTCAGGTTTTGAATATGGAAAGATCTTCAACCAGAATGTTGGCATTAACAGGAGATAAGACATTTGACCCTAAAAAGAAAGCATTTTACTTTCTAACACTTCTAGCACATGTTCACGTTTCAGAATGTGTCAGACTTTTAACAAAAAACATTTAACTGAAACGCTGAAGTACTTCTGTGGAAACTGTGCTGAAATGCACATAAAACACATACAGTACAGTCACTTTGGAGGGAAATGTGGAATTTTCTACAGTTCATTTTTGTAAAGTTTTATAAGTATTTGCATTAGGGTCATACTAGAGGTACATTTCAAAAAATCATCGGAAATTGTAAGGGATAAGGAGTATTCATGTACCATGTCGTGTCTTAGCCTTTCTTAATGAGCTGATTTACCTGAATGTTGCCTTTAACTACAAAGTAACATCGCTCTTGCATTTCTTTTCCATCAGTGTCATCTATGGATAGAATCCAAAAAAAGGGAATTTTGCTTCTTAAAGGAGGTTTTGGAGCAACTGGGAGCACAGTAGGTTATAATGAAAGCTGTATTGTAATCTGACTCATAAGCATCTTCTTTAGTATCCAAAGTCTGTCATGCAAAGAAATGAAGGGTCAAAAACTAATGAACTAACTTTTACTCAGAGCAGGGTTTGATGAAGTACTTCAGTGGCCGTTTGTTTTTTTTAATGGGTCGAATTACTCAAGACTTAGTGATGGTTTAAAATGTCAGTAAGAGGTTCGTAAGGCCCTGCAAAAACATGTTTAATTACATTAGTAACAGAGAATGATCAAATACTAGATGTTTCATGAATATTGTTAAAACCTAAATACCAAAACCAATTTGAGAGAAGGCAGCTCGGGAGTTTAAGTTTTTCTTGTTAAATTCAGCATGGCTCAAGAAACACCTGGCATAAAACCAGCAATTCAGCAGTTGTCTCCAATGCATTATGAAGGACATGCTTTAAGTACCCCAAAGTTACGTTTTCTCGATGGGAATATCTCTATATAAAAATACATATATAGATAGATAGATATGTATATTGTAGATAGATAGAGCTATCTTATTAATTTCAGGCTCTTTCCTTGCCCTTGCTTCTCTGTTTATAATAAACAAACCAACCCTCTTCCCCACACACATGCTGCACTGAGTTTGGGGGATTTTTCACCGTTTTATTTTTAACATGAGAAAAACAGCAGTTTTTCAAATGAGTCTTTAGCTGCTGATGCTGCATTCTGGAGAGAGTAATTCTGTGTTGTTTTTTCATTTGAAAGGAAGTAAGCCACACTGAAGGTACTGTACTTTCAATCTGTAGCCCCAAAGTAATGAAGTTCCCATTGTGCTGTGCCAGTGGAACACAGCGGACTATGTCACATGCTTGGTGTCTCTTTCACTGAAGATCTCTTACGCCTTTTTAACTCTTACTTATACAAGCCTGCTGCCTTCCTGACATCTCTGTCCTGGCACCTGTGTTAAGTGAGGTGTCACCCATCAACGTGTGGAGATGGAGAGGTGTCAGTCTGCTGGTCTTACCATATCGCTCATTTTGTTCCACAGCTGCAGTCATGTGTGTGCAAAAGCCATGGTACTTTACACTAAGAGCTCATGTGCAAGTGCATGTGTTGGTTACTCACACAAGTTGCTAGACATTAACCACAACCCTCCACAGGGGCACTACACATCTAGTGCAGGTTTGAGACAATGTACCTGGGAAACTACAGCTGCCTTTAGTTGTGTGTATCATAGCAAAGATGAGATAAATGCTCTACATTTCAAAAGCCATGTTGGACTTCTTTCTCCCTCTGATTGCTAATAAAGACTTTAATTCCAGTCTGTGTGGTTTTGGTAGAGTTGCACCTTGGGTTTTAATGTTCGGTTTCATTTTGTTATGTTCCCTCCAAACACAGCTAACCTCATATGACTAGCATAAAAAGTACATAAAATTACAGTAAAACTCTGGAAATTTAGAATCTCCCCTTGACCGGCCCTGAAATTATTGCATAAATTCTATGAAATGAGTAAGAATTCAGCTTCTAATTTCCTGCACATCTTACAGTTCAGGTGCACAGTGCTCATCCTCACACGAGTACCTCTTCTTTCTTGCCTTTTCCTAGAGGCAACTGCTGCCAATGGCTGTCTGTGAGAAGGCTCAGCATCCCCAAATCCAGACATGCTGATGCAGTCCTGTTGCATGACCTTCACACAGGCACCTGTCAACTTCAGAGTTCCCTGTTTGCATCCAAACAAAGTCTTAGGGAGCACAGAACAGAAAATTGCAAATTTCTGTGCAAGTCTCTTAAAATTATTTATATCATATGTTATTTTATCAGTAAAATGGGTCTTCTGAAAAAAAAGCTCTGCCTGTTGTCTGATGATTGGGTGTTGGAACTAGATGAGCTTAAGGTCCTTTCCAACATTAACTATTCTATGATTTGGCTCAAAGCACCAACAAAGTTGCATTCTTCTTACAGATCCACTTCTTTAAAGTCTGGCAGTTATCTACTTGGATCATGTTTTTTCTTCTGTAGACAGCACAGTTCTTGTCAGTCTCAATTCTGTTTATAGCTTTCCTGGTGAGAGAACAAAAGAAATGCAATGAGTTGTCAGCTTTAAATTCAGTACTGAATAAAAATATTGATAATATCCTGAGTGAGGGTTTGCATGGCACCCAGTCTATAACCCACTGAAGTACAGTTCCACAGCAGCCATGCATAAATGAGATGAGCACCTACAGCAGAGATGACTGCAGGCTGCTGAGGGATGTATGCTCAGGAATATTAGTGTAAGAAGGACAGGGAAAGGCTCCACATGCAGCCATGATGATGAACTGTAATGGTAAGAGATCTGCTGCACAGATCCTAGCACCCATCCTATGTGACAGGCATCACTTTCAACAGAGGTGGTCAATAAATAGTCTGTAAAGTCAGTGAGTCTGTTCACAGTGATTTCAGTGGGAGAAGTGTGTGTTAATGTCCATTTACATTCATACATACATGAAGTGTGACTGTGGTTGGTCTTGTAGGCAGAAAACAGATCTGTTTCCAAAGGTGCCCAGCAGGAACCAGTCAACCTGGAACTGGCTGTGAAATAGACCCTGAGTCGGTGCCTGAGGCTGGAGAACTAGATCTGTGCTTTGGGAATTAGCTTGGATTCAGAGTTTTATTTCCATGCAAAGTACTATACCTTTGCTATTGCCAAAGACAGTGCACACACACACAAATCATTACCTGTTTTCTTTAGGATCTTCGGTTGAACTCTGCTGTTTGTTTATTTCTGGAATCTTCAACCCAATCCAGATATATTTGGTATCTTTCTCTTTATTGTCTATAAATTCCTGTGGAACAAGTAGAAGCATGTTACCCAACAGCAGAGCGTTTCCGCTGTGCTGAAGTCACTGTTCTGTCTCATGCAGAGTTTTTCATGTAGCCCCTTACATGGAGAGCAAGGGCAGGGATCCAGCTGTGGCAAAGCAGCCCATCACAACAGCCCATACACGTCACCAGCCACAGTTTTGATTCCAGTTGACACTCAAGTTAACTAGCTTCAAAAAAACCCTCAGTGATGCTCCTCACCCTGATAAGCCAGGTTGCAAAGTCTGGTCTTTAAGGTAAAAGACCTGTTGCTCATGGAATTCTGAGTTTCTCAGAAGAGCCACTCAGTGACTTTTCTCAAAGAAAAATGAGAAAGAGGTCTGCCTGTTCGAATTTCCATTTAGTGGTTGAATCAGACCTCTCTTCCCAGAGTCAAGTAATGGAAATGGGCGGGAATTCCCTAGCATTTCCTCCTCCTGGTCAAAAGTGCTGTGGTTTCTACACTTGCGTATCTTGTGCCTCTCCTCTTTAGCTCTACTCTCTTGACACTCTCAAAACAAGCTTCTGTCTGTGGAGAGTCAGATGCTTTGCACTTTGTGGGGCTCTTACTTGCCTGCATGTACACCTGACATCTGGGCTATGTTCACTTTGTGAAATGTTTGGCTAAGGTAGATACCCATTGCACATTTTTAGGGCTGCTGCAAGACTCACCATCTCAATTTCATCTTCAATAACAAGAAGCTGGGATTTCCTGGCCAGACAGTTTTTCTGGCTGTCATCCCAGGTTACAGCCTCCTCAGAGAAGTAGTAACATCTGCCCCTGTGCAATTGCCACCCAGGAGGACACAGCTCGCATGTTCTTCCTGTGAGTGGAGAAATGGAACAGTTAGCTCATACAGTAACTTGTGCCAGTTGCCTTGTAGCATTTTATGTTCATGAGCCTGGCTGGTGCGAAAGCAGCTGGTCCCCACTCCCAAACCTGTGTTCACTGGGTGTGGAGAGAGGTTTGAAGGCTCCAGTGCCACTCATCTGCTCAAAGTCCCACTCCTTTGCCGTGGTGCTACACACTTCTGCATTCCCACTACACATCATTGGGCACTCCACCTTCCTGGGCACCTACCCGGTGGAGAGCGCTAGCAGGAAGGACATAGAAGGCTGAGAAGACACTTTTCATCCTCCCACGTGCAACCTTTGTGAGGAGATACAGTGTGATGTGATGTGACGTGGAGTGTGTGGATTTGACACGTGACCAAAAAGCACAGGTGCTTATCCAAACTGTGTCCGTGGAGCAGGAGAAGGAACTGTGTTACAGAAGGGGAACACTGCTCTTCCCAGGTCTACTTCCCTTTTCACACACAGCATTTGGAAGGAACATCCCCCATATTTCCTTTAATGTTTACAAGCAACACAATTACAATCAGTCCTTAGAAAAGCATTAGCACTTGACAGTAAATAATAGATCCACAATAAAAAGACCACAAATTCTTCCCCTGCCTGATCCTTGCAAAAGGATAGGAAATTACCTCCCACTTACTGCAAACAATTATTGTCTGGAAAGTGTTCTCCAGAACAATGGAAGGATCTACAAGATATGGCATGTCTGATAGAAGCTCCTGGCAGAAATAAATGTAAAGAAAGTGCCAGAAACTATTTATAGCAAGAGGAGCAAAACTATTGTCATAAACTGTTAGTTTAGAGCCTGTCATCACTGCTGTGCAGGAACACCATGCTCCCTGGGTAGAACAAGTGAGTCACCAAAAACTGCAGAGTGTCAGAGAAATAGGAACAGAGACAACAGAATTGTACACCTAGCACATCTTCTGTGCTGGGAAAGGACTAAGTTTCCTCACCCTGTCCATCTTCACACAGTTCCTCCATGAGCCATTTCAAGAGCGCTGTCGAGACAGTCATCTCTGAAGAGGTGGGATTGCCAGTGCTATTTAGACCAATATGGGACAAACTTTCTGATTTTCCTGCTCTGCACTTCAAAACTTGAACAAAAAAAGAGCTTATGGTTAACAACAGGGTCAAGGAAATTTAGTCTTATACTGTGAATGTAAGCGTATGTGTATGTGCATATACACTGGGGGGTAACACGCTCAGTTATGAGCATACTCAGTGTGTGCATACTGCGTATACTGCCATATCCTGGCAAAGGGTGTAGCTGCTGAATAATATGGACAGTATAGAAAAAGAAAATAAGTTTGTCATTACATAAAGAATACACAATATTTTTTGAGATTTTAGGGATAGTTGGGAGGAATGTTTTTTCTGAAGTTTTTCAAGACTGTTTTCTCTTAGGAGATGAGTATCTCCTCTGGAACAGTTCTTGTACAACTGGAGCATGCTATGGATTATGGTATTACTAGTACCAGGGAAGTCTGATTAAATGAAATGATCTGAAGTCTGATTTTTATTTTACTTGTTCAAACCTACAAAGAAATCAAGCAAAATGGTCTCAAAGTAGCATCATGGATGCAACTTTTAACTTCTAAGTCAGGAAGTGCAAATGTTTTGATTGTCATAGTGATTTGAAACCTTCTACAGCTTTTCAGCATCACTGATGACAAGGTAGACTGCAGCAACTACCCCTCACCTGCACTATATATGTTAAATGACAGGTAGCAAATGGAAAGCCACTTTTATTTTCCTGTATTTCTGTATAACTTGACACTTTTCATGCAACACTAAGGGAATTTCTCTTTTGGCATGACCCTGCCTGTGAGGTTCCACCATGTCTGCAACGAAGAGATGAAGGATCTACTCACATTGCTTGGCTAGTATGGCTATGACACTTAGCAGGACGAGCACAAGGATTCCCAGGACCAGCGCCATGTAGAACCAGGCTGAGTGCCTGCCTCGGCAGCCTGGAAGGAGGTGGGAAGAAGAGTGGCTTAAGGTCTTTGCACTATTAACGCTGCCTTTCTGTATGAGTTCCTTACATGAAAGCAACAGAGAAATCATCTGCCTAGAATCAGTCTGCTTTTTGCAAGCATGCAGGGACATTTTACTCATTAAGAATTTGCATCCACTTTACATACATGCAAGTGAAACTGAAAGATCATTTGGTCAGCTAGAGCAAGTGATTTTCAATCAATCATTCCATTAAGTATTCGCTCTTTCTCTTTTGAGCTAATTTTTCTCAGGCATTGCCTTCTGCCACCTACCTTCTGCCATCTGCCGCCAAGATCCTGCAGAGCAATTCGGGGAAAGTATGAGGGATGGTCTGTTGTACATTACTGCCCTCTGTTTGCGCTTTTCTGTGTTAACATGCCTGAAAGCTAGCTTACCTGAATTCACAGATAAGACAAAACCCCCCACACTGACACCATAGCACAGTGAAGTACATTTGACAAGAATGTCTCCAGCTGTTTGACACTCATCAGTTCGTGAGCATGAATCACGCAGGAGAAGGCAGAACCCAAGGAAATTTGGCTTAAGGTGCTATTTCCACAAGCCACAGAGTTGCACTTTCATAACCACTGTTTTCCTGACCTTGTCTGCATGAGATAGGCAACTGCACCACTCTTCGGCTGCCTGAGATATATTTTGTAATGTTCCCTTGCAGCTTTCTGGGGGCCTGACCTTGCCTGGCACATGTCCTTCAATACAGGGAGGACGGCAACCCATCAGCGCACTAACTGCACATGGAGGGGTGGGTATTAACGCTACTTCCAAAGCCAAAGGTGTCGCTGTGACTGTTGCTGCAGAGACACTTACAGCTGGGTTCCTAAAAAAATGTGGAATTTTACTTTCCTTTCTTAAATATTCAATGTAGGGCACAAAGGCATTTTTTAAAAATTATTTTTAAAATCTCTTTCAATATTATTTTTACAAGGAAAATGTTTTATCTGAGAACCCAGGAAAAGAAAAAAGAAACCATATTAAATGATAAATCTGTTCTTTATTGAGAGATTGTATGTAAAGATTTTTGATAACAACTTTTACTGTTAGGTAATAGGAAAGATTAAATCTATAGTTAGTAACCAACGACCAAACAAAATAGCACACTACCAGAAGCGGAAGTCTCTGATCTGCTGCTCCCTTTGGGTTTCGGCTTCACACGCAGCTCAGCGTATGTGATCGTGTTTCCTGTTAAGGAGTAGGGAAATGCTGACATTTGTGGTTGCACAAGCCATTAAGTGGAGAAACAATAAAGAATTACACAGAAGACCAAGTCTGCATAAAAAGGGGCATGTGTTTCCATAGCTGCTATTTCAGCTTTTTCTTTTAAGAAACACCAGGTGAGATGATGACTGATCATTTCCTGCTGCTGTCAGGAAGTAACTAAAAGCCTTCTCCGTAATCTTTACTTGAACTGCTTGGGTCCTATACGGCTGGACCAGGAGGCAGGCAGACAGACTGAAGGATGGGTAAGACCTGGGTGCTATCCATCACTAATATTCCACTGTTGCTAAGCCACCTCAGGAGGTATCATATGGACTTAACAGCCATGACCCTTTTGTGGACCAGGGAGATCCCAAAGGGAGAAATGCCACTCAGAGAAATGCTTATGCAGCAAG